CGCCCGGGTCCGGGCCGCCATCCACCGTGACGTAATCTGCAGCAGTGTCTTCGTCCATGGCTTCGTGAATCCACTGATCTGCCAGTGCATCCAAGCTGGATCGATTTGGCCGGGCGGTTTGCCCTTCGAAAGAAAACCGCAGCACCTCGCCTAGGGCTTGTGATCGCAAGGGACTGGCCCGACTGAAGTGTTGCACCAGGGGCCAAATCAGATCTACCAACAGGATGCCCCCCTCGCCTAACGACCGACCACGCGGTGTTTCCAGCAGCACATTCACCGGGTAAAAAGCAGCACCTTCTCCTTCGCCTTCGGCCTCTTGACCCTGCAGGAAATGCACTGCCTCTTCTACGTCGGGCAGAGCTATCATAAAGCCTCCAGACCGGACACGGACGAGGAAGGCCGAGACTCTCATAGCAGCCGCATCTTCTCGAGGAGGAAGGCAAAGAAACAAAGCAGGCAAAGGACCCGCAGGTCCGCAGGCCCCCCATAGGGCCTGCAGGCTGTCTTCTGTCAACCTCGGCGCTGCAGAGGCGCGGGCCATGACTGACCTGCCCCAATGCAGTACGCCTCCGCTTCACTTCGAGATGGGAACCCGTGGCAAATCACCTCAGGGTGGAAGCGCAAGTCACGCCCCCTGACCTCCTCCAAGAAGGTCTGATAGTGATCAGTCCAGCCGGGCGCTCGCCCTGAATGACCTCGAAGGATGATGTACACCCGGTTGTCCAGCGGAATGTCAGGGCTATCCGGATGAACGGCCGTCCTCTCCTCCAGACGAAATCGTGCCACTAAGCCAGCTCGCAAAGCACGTCCCAACCGTGCTTGTGGTGTCCAGCCACCTGCGGTGGTGCGCAATCGGCTCAGGAGCCCCTGAACCGGAGCTAAACTCAATCGACCAAAGTCACGAGGGACCTTGGCCTCCAGCAGGCAAGTCTCCCACTCCCAGGTCCAAGGCTCAGAATCCAGGAAGCGAGGGTCGATCTCTCCACCAGCCTCGTCAGCGCCAGCAGCAGGCGCCTCAGTGCCCCCAAGGGGGCGAGCAAGGGATACAAGGTCAAAGGAACCTTCGCTCCCAGCAGGTTCACTGGCCGGTGCGGCCGCTCCCGAACGTCCACGCCCAGAGGTCCTCGAAACACGGATGGAGAGGTCACCAAGTTGCACCGTCAGAGAATCAACCTCTGGCGGTTGGCTCATGCACTATCACGATACTCCGCCAACCTTCGTCGCAAGGATGGAGCCACCTGTGAAGGCACAACAGGAGTAGATTGGGCCAGCAGACCTAGCAAAATCTGTTGCAGACACCGCCTGAAGGTGTTGGACACAGCTAGCAGGACTGCCACGGCCCCACAACAACAGCCAAGTAGGCAGGCGAGGATCGTGACCAAGCAAACAAATGAAAGGCTCAGTCCAGTGCAACTCGAGGTATAGGGCCACCAAAAACGGAGCTCACGGGTGAGCTCGAGGAAGTGCGCCCACATGCACGGCCGAGCTTGATCCGAGATGCTTGAACACACAAGCTCTCACATGTGATACAGAGCATATACTGGGGGTCGAGACAGTGGTCAAAGGCAATCCCCTCCACTTGTGATGTGCAAGGACTGGTGCACAAATTCACCCTGACAGACCTGTTACGAGAAGCTTCCACAAGATCGACCTTCATTCACATCTCCGGGCCAACCAAGTCCTGGAAAATGACCAAACATCCTCCTTGCCCCAAGAAAACGATCTTTCCATGTGCCCAGCCTCTCCTCGACACCCAGCGCACAGTCTAGACACCGACATCTCGATGGCCACCGCAGAACCGGGAACATCGCACGCTCGCACGCATCGTACGCTCTGCTCACGCAGCCAAACAGTCTTTTGGTGATCCCTCCCAGGGTGAAACACCTTTCTCTTCCAACCCTCTTGGGATGCCGGACGGCCCGTTGGCCCCTCTCCCTTCGGTCTCTGCGCCCACACGTGGCTCCGGAAGCCCTCTCCCTCCCACGCGTCTCGCAGCTCGCAGCCACCCGCCCCGTGGCGACCGGACCTCGGTCGGCGCTCAGAAGCTCATCTGGTGAAGCGCCTGGTGAGGTCGCGTTGGTGAGGTCGCGTTGGTGAGGTCGCGTGAAGCGGCTCGAAAGGAGGTCGAAAGCAGTCAGTTGAAAGGTGTGGGAATGGCTTTTGAAAAATAAATAAAAGTGGATTTCATGTGATGTCCCAAATCTGTCCAGTGTTGTGGGGTCGTCTGTAAAGCAGCCAGGGCTGAGTGAAACCATTGGGGAGCAGTGGACTTCTGGGTTCCGGGCTTTTTGTCTGTGTTCTCCTTCTTTGGAGACCTGCGTTTTACATCTTCATCCTCCAGACCCCCGTCTCTAGGCAGCAAGGGCTCGTCACAAAAGCACCAAAGACGGATCAGCAGGCCACGATCTCCTGCTAGACCCTTTGGGATATCATTGCCGCATCGAAGAATCCTCCACCCACGGAGCAAAGCCTCCCCAGTTTCCCCCAGTTTCGGATCAGAACTGTCTCCTAATTCGCTTGACCCCGAACCCCATGAAAATCAGATGAATGCACACCCAACCCAACGGTTGGGACCGGGCCCTTCTCAGAAGGTTGACCATCATCAAAGATACACGACGAGCAATGGATACCTGCAATCAGGAACCAGACTTCTGGCGCCCGAACCTGCCCCCATGTGCACATGGCTCAACAAAAACGGAGCCTCTCTAGAACTTCTAAAAACCCCTAGTAGGTGGAAAAGAGATGAACAGAATCCTTCAAACATCCCGCAGACTCTGCGCCCCATGGCCATACCACGTGTGCCTCGTCGCGCATTTCCACTGCTTCCACCGGCGGCCTCAAAGGTGGTCTGGGCCTCAAAGGTTGGTCGGAAGATGTGGAAGTCCCAGCAGGAGAGGTGGTCTTTCCTTCTCAACTTCGGCCTCCAACCGCGATGGCCTCCTGTCAGGGTGTCCAGACCCGCTAGTCAACTGGACCCAGCAGTTCCTCCCCACGGTTCCGCCTGTTCTGCGCCCCCGTTGGGATCTCAGCGCCAAGCTGAAAGCCATCCGGAAAGGGCCTTCCCAACGCGGTGTCTTCCCAATGCGGCCCGAAGGCGAAGACCAATGGGCACGGTGTGAGAGACGCAAATCCAAGGATGTCTGAGGTAACCAGGAGATTGACACCCATATGGCCCAAGGTGGTCTTCCCCATCGGTTGGCTGAAGCAAAAAGCTTTGGGCAGCTCAATGAAGCACGAGGGCATCCCCCATCCCTGGCACAAAAAGTCTGTGCAAAGTCTGGGAATGCTTGTAACTCATCTTCAGTGTTGTGTCTATCTTTCAACACCTGGCAGTAATTAGGTTGGAGACTTGCTATTGGGTTGGAGGCCATTGCTATTGGGTTGGAGGCCATTGCTGGTAGGTTTCAAGCTAGGTAAGGTAAGATGCCCACCCCGGATGCCCACCAAGTGTTCAGATGTCCAAGAGCCCCCCCAGCCTGGGCGCTGACTCCCGGCTCGGCCGCGCCGCCGCAGCCTGCCCATCCATCAGACCCACAGTCTGGAACGAAGAAAAAAGGATCGAACACCATTTCTTGTGGGGGTGCTACAATAATGTTCTCAGGTGCTTTTTGGGGGGAAGCTTACAATGTTATCCTAAAGGCCCCTGTACAGTAGTTGATCGTACTAGCCGGTATAGAACAGGTGCAAAAGCGGCAAAAATAAAGAGAATCTCTGCGAAAGCATCGAGGCAACAGAGAAGAAAGCCATTTTAAAAAAATACACAAGAACTCCATCCAAGCACGGGATAAATGAATTGAGATGGATTGAGTAGCTTTCAAGAAACGACATGAAAAATCTACCCTGAGTAGAATGTCCATGTATCATGTCATGTACTGAGGACATGTTACAGATCTAAGCTGGGAGTTCCGCCGTTCTGAGTTGTCTCTGTCTGAATGTCAATTGCCCCTATTGCCCTATTCCCTTCACAGCAAGTCCAATTCCACTGGTCAAGCTGCAACCTTAAGATCTTCAAAATACTGCAATCTTTGACGACTCCCCGCGGTCGTGACCACCATCAAATCGAAAGGAGACTCCAGGTCCACTCCAGGTGCTTCCAATTCTGCTTGCGCAGCAGGTCGAAACCACCGTTTTTCCCCGCGTGTTCGCATACCGGGGCCTCTCGGGGGTCATGCTTCACCAGCAGCTCGCACTGGCGCAGAGAAATCCGCTTTGGGAGACCAACTCGCGGTCGTCCGACATGTCCACCCCTTAGAGCTCTTCCTCAACAGGTTTTGGGAGACCCGGTTTTGAACCCCTCGGCTCGCGGAGGGTTTCTTACCCTCTTTTTGGTAGAGATTTCTTATGAGGGGCCGAAGCGCGTGGAATGTCTTGCCAGAAGGGCAAGAATAGAATGTAATAGAATGTATACTGTATAAAGTAGATACAGACTCAATTGTAGAGTCATTTACATCATAAAATCATCGAGTTGTCTAGTATTGAGTATGTACACGTGGCTGATTCGCTCGGTCGGCATGGGAGGAGCTTGGAGCAGTGCTCGGTCCCAGTCGTTTCGGGTATACCGGAGATTGACTGGGATGGACCGATCCTCGTGGGCCACCGGAGCAGTGCTAGTGGTCTCTTAGAAGTCGAAACAACCAGGAGTCACATGTCGGGGTGGTGTTGGACAACCCAAGTGAGTGGAGTAGCTGGGCACCCCTAACCTCCATAAAGCACCCCGTCGAACGTGACTGCTAGAAATGAAACATGTTGACATATTTGGACCAAAGCCTTCCTCCAGCACACCCCCCACCACTCGATATATGTTTGTACTTGTACTGATCAAATAGCTTCGGCTTCAATGGTATGCGTGTGAACAGCTTGGTTGAAGTTGTCGAGTGTCCGGAAAAGGGACTTCCATGTAACATCTGGGGTTCCTGCATATGTTAAGAGTCATGCTTAGAAAATGCTGTAGATCAGCATGCTTCTACTCACAGTCACACACTGTCTGGGTTCTTGTTCCTCTATGTTCCTCTTACAAACAGACAGTTCTGCAAAAAGAAGAACGCGATCCAACCCGCGAGAACGTGCGTTTGCCATGGCCAAACCGGCCCGGCCTGCAAGGTATTGAAGAAGAAGATGGAGACCGAGTCCAAGAAGAACTTGGATCTGGAAGAGTTGTGGTCCCCCTCCACCATGATGAAGTTCTGCATCGAGACCAATGAAAAACCAAAAGAAAAAAACAAAAGAGAGCCCAAACACACATGGAGTTCGTTCGTCACCAGGGGCAAATCATGGCTGATCTATCTCTCATCGCGATCTTTTATATACTCAGAAAGACCAGAAAGCACGAAGCCAGGTCAGATGGGTAAGCGATCTCTGAAAGACGCGTTCCTACCATCCAAATCACACCAATGCCCGCTCAGATTCAACAGCCAATGTGGCGGAGGGGGGGCCGTCCTACGGCGCCGCACCCACTTCACCGCCCCGCGCAAAGGATCGGTGCCGACGCTGCTGGAAGTGGATGAAGTCCACGGTGCGAAGCGCAGCTGCTGGGGGAAAGAGTGCCATTTTGAGGCCAATTTGGCAGGAATCATATCCATCCAGATGATCCACAGACCAGTTTAGCCATGAAACAGCCCAAGCAGCGGCTGTCACCAGACCTTTCTTCAAATCCCATTTTTTGGGGGGCCGGAAAGCGCGGCAACGCACCACCGACCCCAAGGCGGCAACCCCGTGGGCGAGAAAAACATCCGGCTCTCACAGGGTGTCCTTTTCCTCGTTGGGATCTACGACACCATGTGGGGCATGAAATACCCCAAAGCATTCATTTCGCCGGTGACGTCACGTAGGTCTGGCATTTGGATGTTTTGGCAACGAAATCCGGTGAGTGCATTCAGCTTCGTCGGTGAGTGCATTCAGCCGCCGCCTAGAAGGCTTGAAATTAGAACGGTGGGAGTTGACGTATGGCCGCTATTCACAAAACTAATGTCTTTGTTGCCGCTGATCAAAAAAAGCGATTGCAGAAAACGTTCTCTTTTGGTATGCAATCTCACGATGTCCACGCGCCCCGCTCCAAAACCCGCTCCAAAAGTATCCTAGACATTAAAAACGACACCAGGACCCTCGAAGGGGTGTGTATTTATAGCAACTTAGCTGTTCAAGGGTGTCCATTAACCACCCTTGGGGGTTCTGGAATACTGATCCTGAATCCTTATAAACACACTGTTCTCCAGCACCCTTCGAGACCTGCTCCTGCGTCTCCACCCTTCTCCTTTCGGACCCACAAATCCCTTCGGCCTTGTCTCCTGCATAGGCCGCATGCAGCTCTTTGGCATGATGCGGTGGAATGAAGTGATCGTTGTACCTGGCCATGTTCGCCACCGCTCCGTCCGGTCGGCGGGACACGCCGCCCGCGTTCCGTCGTCGGCATCACGCGGCGGCGAAGAGCGCCGGGATGAAGGACTTGGAAACGTGCCTCGGTGTGGTTTTGGAGGAAAAAGAGATCCCAAAAAAGACCCTAGCCGCACAAACGCCTCCAAGAGGTCCCATATTTAAAATAGTTGACTTGGCCGCCCAAACGCCTTCCAAGACCTGGCTTTAAACATAGTTGACCTGGCTTTTTGCGCTTTTGCAGTGTAAAGTCCTTAGAAAAACCATGGTTGTTCAGCAAAGACCATTTAAACATATTTAAACAATGGTTGGCCAGGAAATTCAGGGTATAGAAACAACTCAAAAACAAGGAAAAACAACTGCTGGGAATGATGCCAAGCCCATGGGCAAAAGCCACTGCTGGGAACGTCGTTGGGAACGTTGGGCCATTGATTGGTCTTGAGTCACCAAATGGCACACATTCAACACATCAAAGTTGGAGGCATGCCTCGATGATGTGAAAGGCCCAGTTGGTGTCTAACTTCACTGGCTTCGTTTCTCTGTTGAAACCCACCCAGTCTCACCACCAGGAACCCAGCAGTCCTGAAGCCCCGAACGGGCGACGTCGGGCGCTCCCGTCTACGGCGGCCACGGACTCCATTCTCTCGTCTCTCCTCGGTGACCCGCGCTGCACGGGAGCCAAGTCATAGATGTCGAAGTCGGCATGGGTCGAGATGGAGCTGCGAACCTGTCGATCGATCGAGACGGGGCACGACAGGGCGGGTCGACGTGGCCGAGCTCAGTCGGACCCATCGAGGCACTCACAGGCCGAACTGAGTGGAAGACTCTGGCGCAATCGACTGAGAATGGAAGAGAGTGCACGACGTTGATTCTGGGGCCGACTGAAAAGATCCAAACAGTGAATCCCCTTTCAACTGATCTTGCAAATCTCTTTCGTGAGCACGTCAAGCATCTTGAACTTAATGCGTTCAGGTTGTCAACATCCTAATCTGTTCAGTTATCCACCAAACAATCAGTTATATATCCACCCCAAGCATGTTCACTTCGCACCGGCTCGGCGCCCGGGCCATCTGGAGAGCGATGCCGGTGACCCAGCGTGGCACTCGAGAGTTCGTGTAGCCATCGACCAGCTCTTCGCACAGCACCTGGCAGTGAGTGAGTGAGTGAGGGAGGGAGGGAGTGAGCGAGGGAGGGAGGGGAGGGAGGGAGGGAGTCCGCAACGGAACGTCCACATTGGGACAAAAATCAAATCATCCACTCGTCTTCTCACGTGAGAAAATCGATTCATCACTGTCATCACTCATTCAAAAAACATGTCAAAGTCATGTTGCACTGATTCCCGGTGTGGGTGACTCCTGTGTGAAGTATGCGGTCTCGACAGACCCGTTCCTTCGACCCGTGTCGCCGTGTCGGTAGCGGCCTTCAAGTCGGAAAAGGGGCTGTCTAAGACCAGCCCTGCGATGGATGGATCACCTGATTGGAAGTCTTCGGAAAGGGACATGCGCACGTTTGGGCGTTCACAGATCAAAGCCGAAAAACATCGACCAACACAAAAGAAGGAGTGTTACGCCATGCTACACCCCGTGAGAATAAATCACAAAAACTGGATGGCATGGCCCCTTTTCAGGCAGGCATGATGACCATTGATACCTTGTATATCCTTGTATACTAAGCAGGTGGAAAACCTCCACTGCCCTGATGATTTCAGCAAAGTCGTGTTCTGCCTCTTCTGTTTCGCCCGAACGACACACCTCTCTTCACGCTCTCACACCGAGCAGCGGTCGGCGTGCAGCAGCGCCGTGGACGCGCCCATGGAACGGCCCCAGAGGCCTCGGAGTGCGGGGCCCACGGATGGATTGGGGTCGGATTGACCAAGGCCCAAGTGGATGATGATGATGATGATGATGGCTAGTATGGGTCATGGATGGTCATGGATGGCCATGTATTGCTGAATGGAGTGACTTTGCGTGTTTACTGACAGTTACAGGTAAGTCCGGACAGACCCAGACTATGTTTAGGTCGTCAGGATGATGTTACCCGTGCCATCCGGTGGTCCATGCGGCTTTGCTTCAGTTGCTTGTAAACATCCGCCAGGTTGCGTCTTGCCCATCTTCACTCGCCTAACCCCACCCGTGCTGCCCAGCCACTCCAGGTGGACCGGGGCCGATGCAGGTGACCGTGCTGCCCGTCTCAAGACCTGTAACCCACCCCGTGCTGCCCGTGCCAGGGCCACTCCAGGTGACCCGGGCCGATGCAGGTGACGCCATAGGACTCCCGGAGGTGGTCCACCACCACCGCCAGGTCGTCCCGCTCGTAGTAGCCCAGGCTCAGGTACCTGGCCGAGAGCGAAGCAGCAGGTAGGACCAATGTGTGGTAGGTAGACCGGAGGTTCATCCAGGTACCAAACTGAACTGCTCCCTGGGAGTCAAAGACAAAAAAAGAATGGTCTTTAGGGGAACTGAAAGGGAACTTCCTTTACTTCAGCCGGTCAAAATATAGTCTTTGGACTTCTAGGGTACTAGGAGAAACGTGTTTGATTTTTTTTGTGTGGGCAGCTGATTTGTACGCTGTGGATGCGTCAGGTCGTTTGACCAAAAGCCCAAGATAGAAGCTGAAGACGAACCTCTCAAGACCTACTTTACTCCACAAATCCTCTACAAATCCACAATCTAGTACTGCAGGCTCCTCATGGCCAAGTGTCTCAATACTGCCGTTTGCTCCCGACAAAAGACCTTCTGCTCCCCACCCACCACCTGCCGTGTTTCACAGGGATCATCCCGGGCGCACTCTCCGTCAGAGAGCCCGGAGCCGGCAAAGTCGAGGCAGAAGACCTCGGGCCCCCGCGGATCCCCCACCAGCCGTGTGAGCTGTGGTGGGTCCAGTTTCGGGCCTGGCAGTCGTTCCAGGAAAAAAATTGAAAGACGGATTTCCCGCCACCGCCGACGAGTCGAGCAAGGCAGGTGATGCGATGGTGGCCATCATCAAGTGCTGACTGGTGCAACGAAAAGATGGCGGCTGGATCCTGAGGTATCCTTCATTCCTCACGAGTCGCTTCAGTCTGATTGGTTCAACTTCGACTTCTCCGAAACCATCCGATTCTGCTGAACTCGATAGAACTCGATGGTCCTCTGTATGAATCAAAACAAAAACGTTGTGCTGCACTAAGTATGTTTTTGCTTTTAGTAAAAGCACGACGTGACCCAAACACTCCCAAACCATGGTGGCAGATGGTCACAAAGCTTCCCGGCAGTGATGTTGAACGGCAGCAGCACCGGCAAAGTGCTCACCGCCTCGACAGCCCCAACCACCCCGCAGAACGCTCGACGGCGACACCGCGCCTTTTCACGCAGGAAACAGCGTGTGCTCAGGAAGCTTGACCCTCAGCGTCCCTGCTACGGAAAGCCAGTCGAATGCTACAGCCAACTCAAGCGGAATGGACTCCTGTTCCAATTCAATTCCAATGTGGAGTTATAGTTCCTCCCCCCCCGATGAGCCTCGCCCCGCTCGCCACCTCTTTCGCTGCGCCCGCCTCTAAGCGGCTGCTGCAGTTACCATGCAGGTACACCACACAAGGGAGTCGCTGAGCCGGTCGTTCCCTGCCAAGATCTCTGCCGGTGCTGTGGCCCGCCCCTTTCTCTTCTTTAAAGCACTCCCATTGCCCCTCTCTTTCTTCAACCAAACCTAGATATCCCAGAAGAAGAGGTCGCCCATCAGCTTCTCTTCAAAACCATCGTCGGTTCGTTCCATCGTTCGCTTAATGGGCGTCCAGCTCGATCGAGCCATTTTTGGTTTCCCCATTGACCAGTCGAGTCTGGTCCCGACCTGTTTGGCCCGTGTACTGCGCAGTGTGTACTGTCTTGGTCTACTGATTGAACTGACCCACTCAAGCCAGCATTTGGGGGTCCAGTTGCCATGATCAACTTCAGCGGATCATCAAATTAAGGAAGCGTGAACACTTCGACATGACTTCACTTGGATGAATCCAACAAATCAGTACCAAGTCAGGACTTTAAGCACATGAAACAGTCTCTTGAGGAGCAGGCGCTGCAATTGGTTCGAAGTGACTGCACCTGAGGCGACAGAAACATCCATCGTGCCTGACCCTGCTTGACCTTCAAGGCCAAGGAGGGCTTCCGGTTACGGCTACTTGCGATGGCCTCCAAGCTACTTGCGATGGCCCCCAACTAATAGCGTCCCAAAAAATTGCGGAAACAGAAACAGTGACAATGCACAGTACTGCAGTGGCACCCGTCTGCGATGAGTACACCACCAGCAGTGCCAGCAGACTAAAGTGGACCAAGTCTACCAGAAAAGTTTCTTGCAATGAACTGGGTACCAAGAGGATTGCTTTAAATGGAAACCTTGTACCCAGCAGGAAGTCCATGCAATGAACTTCCTCCGTGCTGTCCCAGGACAGCTGAAGACCTGGGTCCCAGGACAGCTTCCGCTCTGAGCTCGTGGCACCAGCGTGAGGCCCCGGGGATTCTTCAACGACAAGTCTGTGCGTTGATAGGTCCGGTTCCTCGGGGCAATCCACGAGGAGGAGGAACAAGGAGCGGGAGCAAACGCGACGAGGTTCCGGACGCTATACCTGGCCTCCAAACAACGGTTCGGAACAAGGACGGCTAGGACTGTTTTGTTCTCCCCCATCAACAGGAGCCCTTCCTTGGATGGACTAAGATCTGGGAGGATGAAGGGGCTCGCAAGATAGGTAACTGGACTCTCAGGGGACGCAAACCGTGGAACCGAACCGCGTGGATCGTCAGTGGCTTTCGAGCGTGGGCGTTGAGGTTTCATTTGGCACCACAAAGCACGGTGTTCAGCTTCTCTTTTTGTTTTAGCATGTTCACTCAGTTCATCCTCAAGTAGAGACACGGCGATTGAACATAGGTGGAAAAAAAACAGATCCCATTCTGCCCAAATGGTCTTCTCTGAGAAGTAGACTCGATGCTGAAGACGGCCGGGCCCAAATCCTGCCGCAGGACTCCCAGGGCGGCGGAGTGGTTCGATTGCAGCTGCCCGATTCCGTCACTCGACCGCTCCATGGGGACCAGCAAGCATCATCGGCCCACCAACTGACCTACTATGACATATGACCTACCCAACACCAATCCAACCCAGCCCAAACCCCACCCAGGCCAATCCAGCCACACCACCTACCCAGGCCGCCTGCGCCCCCCCACCCCCTTCCTTGATCTCATACTGATCACGAGGAGGTCGGATCACAGCTCGCCACAGCTCCGTGTACTGCCTCGGCAGGTGGGGGGGGGATCAGGGGCACCTTGGAGGCCGGAGGCGGGAGGGGAGACCAAACGAGAAGCACCTGCTCGGTGGGGAAAACGACGCCCCGAACCGAGGTTCCGAACCAAACCCGTGGTGGTCGGTCGGTCAGACCGACATGGACCAGACTGACATGGAAAGACCCAATAGATAGAAGACCTGGGCCAGACATAAGCTGGCGACTTGAAGACACCGGAATGATGAAGCGCTCTACTTCCTCTCAGCGGCTTTCGAGGTTGAGCGAAAACCCCAGAAGCAAAGACTTGGGTTGATGATCTGATCTCAGAACCATGGGGGGGTGAGAAGGAAAATGGGTCCATTCTGGGAGTCCATTCTTGTCTGCTGGATGACAGGATAACCCCAGCTGTTGAGAGATGTTAAACTCCATGCTCTAAATCCAGACGCACGTGATGAAGCTCCATGGGCTGTTGAGACAGCCCTTTATTCCATGTTTGCTGGGGATCCCGGCTCGTACAACTTGCTGAAGAAGCTCATGTCATTGCGATGGATGAAAGATTTTAGGATCTGAGAATGTCAGGAAGGCTGAAGGGATTGACCTTTGGTGCATACAACCGGGGAATAAATCAAGACGTCGCAGTGGTTGTAACCTCTTCAAAACACTGGATTTCCAACCAAATGCTGCTTTGTGCTGACCCTTACCTTTCTCTGGCATCCACCCCTGCAGCACCTGTGCGAACACTTTCAGGTCTTCTTGGAAAACTTCCGAGTCCTTGCTCCGTTCGTAGCGATGCCCTTGTTCCTAGTAGCCTCAGAAACACCTTGAGACGTTGAAGCTCCAAGGACTTCCTGGCTTTCGACAACGGCTCCGGGGGGCGCGCGGGTCAAGGGCAACCAAAGTGAGCCATTTTCTGTTCCGGTGTGGAACCCCGGAGTCACGGCACCACAAACCGGAAAAACCTCCCGCAGCTGTTTGGGGAAGCCTCGTGACCTGGCGTGGGGCGTCGGGGGTTCTGTGATGTGTGACCCGTATTGACCCGCCACGTAGACGACGGCAATGTATTTCCTTTAAGACCAGTATTGATGTGGGTCAGGAATAGCGTGTAGCTGGGATGCGACATAAAGTTGGCGGTTGGCCAGTAAAAATATGAAATGCTTTTGATGAAGTGGGTCTTTTCTTTTCAAGACTGCAATAGGTGTGGGGTGTACAGTGGAATATGTTACAGTCCGGGGTTCAACCCGCATCCACCACGAAAGATCGCGAAATCATCAAAGATTTGGGAAGACATGATGTGCCACCACCCTGGGCCTTCTTCGATTCTTGAGCCCCCAAACCATCCAGAAGGCCGCCAGACTGAGGGGGCTCCACCGCCAGGTCTGGCCGACTCGGCTTCTTTTTGCACGGTGTCACTTGGTCTTTTAACGCTAAAAGTACTCTACATGACACGGATGTACATCGATCACTGGCAGTTCGGCGCCATCGACCTCCTCAGGATTCCGAGATGGTCAGACCGGAGCGCCTCTGCCAGGATCACTGCTTAGCTCGCTGCTCAAGCCAGCGCCGTCACCCACCAGAGCTCAGGTGGTGAAAAGAGCGGAGCGCAGCTTGTGGTGGCATTCCTAGTTGCGTTCCTCCTGGCTAGCCTGGCCAGCCGAGTTGGAAGATCCTGGATGTCCAAGGTGAAGTGCCTTACGGATCTCCTCCAGTTCCCCAGTTAAGCCGTCCTGCAAAGATGAAATCCCATCGCAAATACTGTCCAGCCTCCTGCTATGCTCCGCACAGTGGCGGGAGAGGCCCGCGTTCTGGAACTTCACATTGGACGCGAGGTTGTGAATACGGTCGTGGATGGAAGAGGCTGACTTCTGCAGCTGACTGCTCAAGGCCCCTTGTGCACAACTCAAGGTCTGCTGCGCCTCCAAGGACGCCTTTTGAAACTCGTGAACAGCGGCCGAGGCATCACTCAGCTGTTGCAAACGTGCATAGAAATCACCTTTCGAGTCTTCGAGCATCTTGTTGCCCTTCTTCTTGGCGAAGCTGCCACTGGTCAGGATCGGCCTCAAAAAGCCCCTCATACACCCCAAAGTTCGGAGGAAACCTTGAGTTCACCTTTGTCGGTCGTCGAGTCTCTCTTTCTTCAAAAAGGCACCGGCACGGAAAACCTTCTGTGGAAACCTTCTGCCTTCCCAACTAGTTCGGCCGCACCAGGTCTCCGTATACCCTCTCTGAGAGAACCAAGCGTCTCCCAGGGGGACACGAGGGGCAGGGCGGGCTGCTCCAGCTTCGCTCCGTTGAAGGGTTCCCAAACCACTCCAGCGGCCTCGCAGGTCCCTTCCGGCTCGGAGGTGTTCACCTCGCACACACCACGCACACCCAGTCCAGCGCTGGAGCTGGTGAAGGCTGGTGGTCGGAAAGGCACCAAACCATGAGATGGATGAGCTTCCACCACCCGAACACAAATCCACCACTGATACCACCTTGGGAGAAAAAGACAGAAAATAGAACTCCGAAGGTTCGCCCCAGGGGAGAGCCAGCTTCAAAAGAGAGCCAGCTTCATCGATTCTTTGACACCACATCTATCTGAAGGTCACCCATACCTCCAGTTCAGAATCCCTGTCTGGAACCGGAGCCTCTAGATCCTCCTTGGCCTCCTGCTTCTCACCCTTGCTGTCCTGGAAGCAACCGCACTCCAAGCCCGCCCCCCCTTTGGCAACCCCATCACAGGGCTCACAAAAAAAACGAACACCCAGCAACTGGGTGTGGCATCCCAGCCCTTGAAACCCGTCAAAGACCGTGGTTTTGGGATGCCCACCAACTGCAGAGACCTCCTCAAATGGATGCAATCTGACAACAAGGGGCCACGAAATGTTCACCCCCAACCACAGAAGAAGCTCTGCGGCAAAAAGGACGAGCCAAGCGGAACCCATTTTGGTATGTGAGGAACTTGCTTCACTGTACTTTGATGCGGGAATGTGCTACTTCTTGCAGTTGTGCTCTCCTTCTCTTCTTAATTGATGGCACTCCCCTTTTCACTGCTAAACCACAGCCGCTCAGTTTCTTTGGGTCAACCGTCCAAAAAACACAATCAACAGCATAGACCCCAAACATATCCAGTTGCGTCAGTTATTTGAATTACAATGCTGGTGGAAAGGTCTGTAACTATATTCCCATAGCCGCAGCCTCCAGCTCTTTGGGAACAGCATGTAAGAAAGATTGGGAACAGGATGATATCAAATTTGACATGCTACATCACTGTTGCGTTCAGTGCAGAAAAACCGGACCGGGCGGTGGAGAAAGGGACAACCGCGCGGTTTTAAGCAGGGAACAAGGCCCGGACAGTGGTGATAGGAGGGCCCGGACAAGGCCCGGACAAGGCCGAGACGAAAGGGCCCACGGCCCAAGCAGGACACCGACAAGGCCCGGAAAGGGGCGGCCGGCGCGGCCAGGCCTTTTCTTCTTATCAGAGAGGAACCCCAACAGTAAACTGGTGTTTCTCTTGCAGCCCAACGATGGGCCTGGCTGGGTGCCGAAGTGAGACACCAACATCTCTCCTCCGAGCCGTGCTGCACCTCGCTGGGCTCCGTGGGGCGCTCTGCCGGTCCAGCACCTGCCGCTGAGCGGAAAAAGACGGGTAGATGTTGACGGTTGATGAATCCAACCCGCCACATTTGAAGATCTTGTATAGAATGTTTATAGAATTTACATTAAGACTGCTTGAAGAAAACCGGTCTACATTCCCGAAATTTCGAGCACTTTTGGATGGTAACATCTCACCCATGAAGGTCATGAAACACATGTGGAACTGGCCAAAACCAGTTCCTGGTGTCCAATAAGGACCGCCTCCAACGTGCCTATATCTTCAATATTCATCAACGGCCTCCAGCCTAATAGCGATGGCCTCCAACCTAATAGGGACGGCCTCCAACCTAACAGCGGTGGCCTCCACCCTAATGGCGATGGCCTCCACCCCAATAGCAATGGCCTCCAACCTAATAGGGACGGCCTCCAACCTAACAGCGATGGCCTCCAACCTAATGGCGATGGCCTCCACCCTAATAGCAATGGCCTCCAACCTCATAGGGACGGCCTCCAACCTAACAGCGATGGCCTCCACCCTAATGGCGATGGCCTGCACCCTAATAGCAATGGCCTCCAACCTAATAGCAATGGCCTCAGAGTCTGAGCCATTCTCTTTTGGGAGGAATTGGTTTGGTACTTTGAGATGCCCCAGAGCCCACTCCAACGACTCAGATGATTTACATGTCCACCAAAAACCAAAAGAACGTGTGATCTACGGGGAATCTGTCGATTCTGTCGAGATCTGGGCTTCTTCGCTGTCAAAAACATGCTGAAGGCCCACATCTCCGCAGCACGGAGATATCAGCACATCAGCCGTCACACATTCGGTATGCTCTCAAAGGCTCCTGGTCTCCATGGTTCTGGGCTACAAAAATGGCACATCGTTCACATGCTGTATACATGCTTGTGGCCACGGTCCAGGGCCTCGTCTGATGATTCGGACAACCCCCGACCTCTGCGTCCTTCCGAATCGGTGACACAAGTAGATGGAAATGACACAAATCAGAGCCCCTAAGAAAATAAAAGCTACCAGAGGCGATTGTGACACCATGAAAAAAGTCTCCTCAAGTCTTCAGTCTTCAAGAAGAAAGTTGCAAAATCCTCCAGAACCCATCCTCTGAATCGATCCTCCATCCTCTGCGCTCGCCTGAAGCCTCCGAAGCGGCCAAGCTCTCCGCCTCATAGCTCTTCATCAAAGCCTGCGGACGTGCACTGCACTACGGACGTTCACTGCGGGTGGTGAGAACAGCCGAGAACGGGGCGTTCCGCATGTTTGGGAAGCCTGACACCTCTCCCGTTCGGTGTCACGTCTGTACATGTTTGGACTTGGCCAGAAACGGCGGTCGATGACCGACACCTTTCGGAAACATCCAACTAAAGTTCAAAAGTCCAAGACGATTTCATTTGGGAAGCCTGATCTCAAGAAAACCAGAGCGGATCGGAATTCTGTTGCGGCGGCATTGACTGGAAGGAAGCAAACACAAAATTAGCCACGCCCAACCAATCAAAAACAAATCACATCAAATCACTCACTCGTCTCCATCTCCATTCCCCTTGGCAGGGTCGCTGCTGCGCTCCTTTATCTGCACGTCTCGTCATTGTCACCACCGCCCAACCCGTGCCACCCGCCGCAACCACCGCCCAACCTCCGCGCCTCCAACAATGTCGGGATTGAGAGCTGGATGGCCAGGTCCAGGTTCACCACCGGCGTCCTGCAGAAGATCATCTTTGATTGGTAGGTCATCCTACGGGAGGGCCTGCGAAAGAAAGAAGCTTTGACAGGGGAAACCGCCAGAAAAAAACGAAAAATGTAAGTCGGTCAGAGGTGCTAAAGTGATTGGTTGTCCTCCACATCTTTCTTCTTTCATGGTTGGGCCAACACCGAATCACACTCCTTCACTTGGAAACCCCAGACTCGGTTTCAGGTCCCCGCCCCAATGGCAGCGGACCTCCGGGTGCAAGACCTCTGGGCAGTCCTCTTGCCACCCTCTTCCCCGAAAGAGATTTTGCCGGCCGAAGGCAGAAAATGAAGCGCCAACATGGCGAAAGCTCCTGCCCCGGTGCGGAGCCGGCACACCGGCTTGAGCCGCTTGAGCTGACGACGACGTGACGTCGCCGCATCTGCCCCCTCCCTTCAGAAACTTCCAGGGAATCAAGGGCGGTTTGCCAAAGCAAAGGTAAAGGTCATTGTTCCTTCAGGTCCGAAAGTGAAAGATTCAGATTTGGTGTTGGAAGTGATCAAGTTTGACCCACTATTGCATCGGAAAGATCCACACAACTCTCGCTGCAAAATGCTATCATGCTAGACTTCAAAGTGGAGGGGAGATATATACTTCATACATGTTTTGTGAACTTAAAGGGAAAAAAACCTCAGCTCCCAGCAGTCTGTATTCGAACTCCAGACCCCCAACCGTTCGATCCATGTCGCACGTCTCTTCGCAGCGGAGCATCCGATCGTCCCGGAAGGGATCCTTTGGATCCTGAGACCTCTCCGCACCGCCCCGGGGTGAAACCGCCTGGACACCGCGCCCAACCACCAGCAGGGAGAGAGCTGCTGGCACCGCCTGGACACCGCGCTCAGGGACCATCCGTGGCCGCCCAGCTTGGACAGGACCTGCGCAAGCTGAATGGACTGATGGCGGCTTCAAGCAGCAGAAAGGCAGTTGCGCGGCTTCGGGCCGGAAAAGCTCTGGTTTGGTTGAAAGGAGATCGTAGAAGGGAAGGGAAGGTCCACAAAAGTTTGGCATGGAACCCGATACTGCACTCCTCGTTCCAGCGGTTTCTTATTGGTATCTCCCAGGTCAAGAAAGTGCACAAAAGGACGGTATGGATGTACGTACAAGTAGCTCCATACGCGACACGCGATTCTCAAAGGGATGTCTATTCTTGGCCATGCGTCCAAAACCACGGTGTTCCCTACAGCCACCCTGTCTGTTCACGAGGCGCACCTTTAAAAACCAATGTCAGGTCCATCTCGCTTCCAGCTCGATGGGTCTCCAGGTCCTCCGGACCCCCGACCTCCCCCGGACCCCCGCCTGGGATTCACCCGCGCCGTGTCGTTCTGCCGCGGAAAGGACCAGCGGGCGATGCAGGCCGCGTCCGGGCAACGGACCTGAGTTCCGTCGGTGCGGGAACGGAGGGCACGAAGCGGATCGAATCGGTGTTGGGACCGGAGGTGCTGGTCAACCTTTGGCTTTAAGGGTCGGACCAAACAATATGCAGTACATAGGTATATATATATACTGTTTGACTGATGATTTTACACTAGGTCAACCAGCTTTAAGTCTTGGAAGGCAAGGGCTAGGGTATAGGTATTGATGGCCGTTCGCCTGTGCCTTTCAGTTCAGGTGTTTTCTTCCCCTACGAAATCGTGCTCCGGCTTTTGCTGACTGGACTGGACTGGACTACCAGTGCACTGATCAATCCTCAGACTGCAGAAACACCCCGAAGCCCTTGGGGTGCATCCGAAAGCCGAAAGCTTCCGAAAAGGACGCTTTTGGAAATCACCTCTTCCTCCCAATAGAGGCTCAATGCTCCCGTCTCGTCCAAGCTGGATCTGTTTCACCCAAGCGTCTGGAGCTTGAATAGAGGCACGCTATATGCAGTGTTAAGAGGGGTTAGGGGCACAAAGGTTGAGGAAGAGTTACACGCAGTGATCGTCACCATGCAAACCTTCCAGTTGCAAAATGCTCAGAGCTCCTTCCTTCAGGACAAGACTTCATAGCGTTGCTCTAAGCCGATATCAACACTCGCACAACGTTGCCCCAATCCATGCCAGCCGAGCAAATGCATCAATCATTCCCCTCATGGCATGGTTTTCACCAGAAACAATGTTTCGGTGCAAAATCATCTCACGTTCCCGTGAAAAGTGAAAAGGAAGGAAAGCGTGTTTGTGTGGGATTTGGAGATTCCTTCCATCTTGTTTCTAGTTCTGAGTCTTTCCCACACAACCACCACCGATTAAACGTGCTTTCAGCCCATCAAAGAGTCCACCCCAGGCTGGGGCATCGCACGCAATGAAAACCGCCATCCCCAAAGAGCGTCTGGTTACTCACCTCTCTCACCCAGCAGTAGGGTACCTGCGAGCCGATCCAGCGGTCGAGCCAAGGATCGGAGTTCCATCGCGTGGCCGGCGAGCCGCGCCTGCTCCAGGAGATTCTGGGGTGGCCAGTTGATCAAAGCCCAGCAGAAGCAGAAAATCACCAAACCTCGGTGGGGACCACATCTGCCCGGCAGCGCTGAAGAAGCAGCGCCCGGCCATTCTGTCCCATGCAAAGTAGAAACGTGGCACTGCTTGGTTCCGGAGATCACCTGGTACTCCCAGGGTTGGGCTGCAGACTCGGGGCTGCGTTTTTCCTCCTCATCTTGGCCCAAAACATCTCGCCTTGATCGGTCCTGGATGACCTAGATGTTCACCACCATCTTTGGCAAACCCAGACCCCTAACGCCCCGAAAAAACCCTGCCCAACGCATCTCCATGCAGCCCAGGCCCAGCCCGGGCCCGCCCCAGGACGGAAGAACCTGCATTCCCACTTTCCCGGGCGCCCGGTCAAGCCAGCAAGGCCTTCGCCATCCGAATCACCTGCCGCTTTTGAAGCCGTGGAGCGAAGCGAAGCGAAATCACCTACGGTCAGGGGGCCGAAGAAACGGAGCAAGCAGGCTTTTCATTCCCAAAACTTTTGGGTGTGTCCTGGGTGAAAGGCCAGTTTCATCTGGAAAGTGGATGAAGGGCATTTCTCCGTGCATTAGAATTCGAGTGAAATCCTCAGTCCATCTGTAAGAAGTTGTTTTCCTTGGTTCATACGTGAGCTGAGTTCTGCGTTCTTGAGACTGGAGACATTGTTTTGAGAACACCTGAAGACACATGGCATGGTGTTCTGCGTCCCGTGTAGTAAGCGCCGGTTTTGCGTGATCTTGGCCGCCGTGATGTTTTTGACAATACTTTGTGGCTTTCATGGCATTTTCGGGTGGCTTTGGTGTGTACCTTGCTTCCAGAGGTCTTCGATTCGGACGTTTCTTTTTGTTTGGGGATGGGTCGGGTTTTCGGACGTCCGTGTTTCGACACGCGTCAAGAACGGGTCGGAGACATCATGTTGTTGGTTCGCCAACGAAGCTCAGGTGTGTTTGATGAGCACCGTTTGCAGGCATGTTCAGTGTTGGTCCTGATCACGTTCATTTCAGATGTTTTCAGATGTTTTTAGGGTGATTTTCAGGTGTTTTTGGGGGACCCTTGTTCCATGTTCCATGTTCACACATCTGTTCCAGTTGGTGCCACGAGTTGTTGGCCTTGACTGACACGGCTGAAAATGTGTGAAGATGGCCTTGACTTTGCTCATTGCCTTGAAGATGGCCATTGGGTTTAGCTGGCTATGGTAGTTGAACGATTCCCCCCCACAACCTGAAACCTTTAGCCTCACTGACTTTCTGATGACAATCCAACTTAGACATTGTTGAAAACCGCACAGTGTTCTAAGCGCCGCGTTCCATGCACTTTCTTCTATTTACACAACAGGACATTCTGCAACTCTATGTGACGCATCGCCAATGTAATAGGAGGGTTACTAACTCGAGAGAGAGAGAGAGAGCTTCACAGATCTTCTTGGAAAAAAGAATTGGTATTCCAACCACCTTCGTCCTTACTAGTGCAAGCCCCCTGACTTCACTTAAGTGCTGATGTCATGTTTGCTGGTCTTTGGTTTGGACACCCTTGAAACGTCCGACCGGTCCACCTGCATCTCCAGCTCATGGGTTCGGAGCGTGAGGTTCCGCCCAAAGGACTTCACCAAGAGAAGCCCAGCCACAGCGCCTAAAGAAAGCGGAGTGCGCACGCACACGCCGGGGAGCTTGGAGGTCTCGCTTGGGCGAGAAGGGATGTCCAAACGTTCTTGTGCCCTGTCTGAGGTGTTTGGATTTGGACACAATATTATATACACAGATATAGTTGCGCTTTCGAAACAACTGCTTACCTTCGTTTTCTTATCCATAGGTCACTTTGTTTGCAATGCATCAACAAATGCTTTTGACAAGATGGAATCTACAGCACTGGCCTCCCCATCCGCCCCCCTAAGAAACACCGCTGAGGAGGCGACCTCCCATGTGAGCAGAGTAGCTGATCTCAGCCCTGGGATTCAGGAGGTAAAGCAACACCTGGAACACAGGAAGCACAACGATGAACAGGAGGCGTCAACAGGCTGAAAACAGCGAGCTGCAGCTGATCCCGGGTCACAGCACAATCCTTTACACGCACGATCTTTTATACAGTTGATTCAGCCAACGCCTCCATCAAGGTCAAAAGGATGATGAAGATAAGCCTGCAGACCGTGGCGAACATGTCTTGGTCATCAAGATCTTGAAGGGTTCAGAGCTAGAGTAAATGTCTCGAAATGAGGTGCCCCCACAAACACAAAGCGCGGGATCTCGAAAAAAGCGACTGTTCCGGAGCACAGGGTGCATGCTCTCGATGCTCAGCATGGTCAGTTGCAACCTCTTGACACTGCCGACCAACGGGACAAACAGATGTGAATTTCACCTGCATGTCCGTCCCAACTGGAGACCCTCATTGAGGGTCCGTCCGCCACTGAGCTGCATGACAATCACATATCGAGCGTCAATCCGGGTCCGATCCACATCCACCGTGTAGGGCGGTGGAAAAAGGATCAGTCCAGGTCCGATCTCGTCCAAGATCGGTTTTGGCCGCCTGTAGGGCGCCGATTTCCGCTCCCAGTTCAAGATCACATCGCCCAGCTGCATCCCCAACAAGGCATAGGCCCCGCCGGACATGCCCACCACCTAGTGAGTCGGGGGACGGACCGTAACTCTGCCGGAGGAATCCATGGAAGACCTGGTGTTTGACGCGGTGCCCGATTTGTATGTTTGTTGGTGTCCCCAACCCAAAGAGCAAAACTCTACATGAGGGATGATCAAAACGCCAAGCCCGGGCCTCAAACATCAAGAGGCCCGCTTTGGATGTGAACTACCTCCCAACAGACTCCCTCCGTTTCACCATTTTCCACAGGAGCTTCATGTTAGTGTAGAAGGGGTGCTAGCCGAAAGTTGTGCATCGCAAGGTATTTTCCCCCTCCAGATGGGGCGTATATGTATCCTCGCAAGGGCTTCGGTCGACTCCTTACCTTACTCAAGGCTGACTCCTCACAATCCTCAAGCTCCTCACACGGTTTCCAATACATGTTCAGTGGTGATTTATGAACGTCTATCTCTTCGGAGGGTCTGAACCCTCTCCGTGCGCCGCGTGGCATGACCTCCCCCCTTCTCAGGCTCCCGCCCGAGCATGGCTGTCGAAGACACACACGCAACCGGCTCCACCTCGGACGCTGTCGGGGCACAAGCCATGAGCGTGGGTGGCGCAAGTGGATCGTGAGGCCGGAAACGATCACGATTCCGTTAAGTGAACTTTGGCAATAGTGAGATCTCAGTTGGATCTTTGGCAATAGTTGGCAGAACTTTGGCGAACTGGCAAGTGAACTGGATGGCAATAGTTGGATGGCAGAACTGGCGACCAGGAATGCTGATGACACGTGTGATCTTAGACGTGCCATAGGCCCTAGCATCTAGAGGCTGGAATAAGCAAAAATTGTGTGTCTCATGTATCTCCAGGTGAAAAGTTGAAACGTGAGTACTACACACAGAAACCTCAGAATCACACCCACTCTACACTGTGAAATATGCAAATTTAACTCAGGTGGTCATTCGATTCTACGTTTGAGAGAAGTTCAGCGAGCAGTCGCTTTTTGGTTTACGAAGGCGACTCTGAAATTGTGCACGGTCAATGAAAGGCCATTTGCGAAGAGGTCGCACAATTTTCAAGACAGAAGGGGAGCTGAACCGTTGGAGGAAGTTTGCGTTGTGTCACACTTCTACGCTTACAGCAACGGAAAAACCTTGTGCATGCCCTGAGACTGGCAGGAGCGCGCTGTGGGGCGCAAGGTGCCACACAGAGGGCGCGCCCAGTGCGCGCAGATGGCAGGCGAATCAGGCTTGGGAGATGGCAGGCGAAAAAGTGAAAAGGGACCACTTCAGAAAGCAACGGTTGGCCATCTGCGGAGCACGGCCGGTGGCGCCTTTTCGGCGCAGAACTATAGATTGGTTGAGGGCCAGTGGCATGCATCGCACGTCGTATGGGCGTGGGGGGGCTCAGCGCAAAAGCCGATAGATACCAAAGAAATACCGAGAGTGGGAGAGTTTTAGTATATTTTCCACACAGAACCAGATCCAGGTTGAAGGGGGAAATCATTTCCAGGAGAAGCCACGAGGAGGTGGTGGGTCAGACTGTCATACTCTCCCATGTCCCCAGCGACCAGAGGGGAAAGATACAGAGTGACCAACCAACATCTCCCTTTAACATAACCGTTACAGGGGGGTCCAACCCAAAAAAGTGTGCGGGGGAGAGGGTCCAAGGGATACAACAAGTCCGGGGTGGTTCCAACTGACACCAAGATCCTCAAGAGAAGCCTGACAAGAAGGGAGACAAAGCACAAATCAGATCATCACAGGTTTTCAATGGGGAGACAAGAAGGAAATGGGGAAATCACCATGGGAGACAAGCGAATAAACACGTCGCACAGGTTGCAAGAGTGCGGGGCGACGCAATCACGTCGTGAGTTGGGAAATCATGGTCTTGCACAGGTCTGCGAGGTGCAGAGCTATCATGAGCTATCAGCTACTAGCTACAGCGAATCCAAGGCCAGTTGCATCTGCACGCTTTTCTACAGTACCGTGCTCTTGCAGCATAGTGCTCTCACAGCGCAAAAAACAAAATAAAGCTCACGCAGTCAAAATCATCTCAATACATTCAATACATATACGTCTATGGAGCTTTTGACCTGCCAACGACTCGTACATCTACTGGCACAGGCGTCGGTGGCAGCCACGGAAGGCGGCTACCAGCAGGTAAGACGGGCCGCGCCCCCTGCCTGAAGTGCAAAAAAAGGATGACAAGCATGCTCGTAAGGGCACCCCCTCCTCAAAGATGGCTCAAAATGGCCCCAAGGTGCGAGTTATGCCGCTCAGCTTGCCTTGCACTATCTGCATTGTTTATTTATGTTAGCAACAACAACAACAACACCACCACCAACAACAACAACAACAACACCAACAGCCACAGCCACAACCACAACCACAACGACAACAACCACAACGACAACGACAAAGACAACAAAAACGACAACGACAACGCACAACGACAACGCACAACCACAACCACAACACCCCCCTTCCCTCCACCTGCTTTCCCCTGACACCTGCCACTGAACATGCTGGCCTGCTTTTGGGCCACGTTGACCCACGCAGGTATTCATCGGTAACCCTGGTAAGCGGTTGATACCAAGAAGGACGGTGCTTTCGTTCACACGGTGCTTAGCGTCATTGCAGTTTCGGAAGCCTTTCGGTGTCCGGCCAATATGAGTGGTCGGCTTCTACGATCATGGGAGGCGCAAAAACCTGGATCTTGCAACCAAGACCCTTTTCCTACCTACAGATTCTCTGTTGGGCGAAGACACAGCGGCGGGGTCCAAAGCCGCCTCCGGTTTTCAGACCACACCTGGGGCACCGGACCCAGCACACCCACCTCGAACATCCAAAGGACCCGAAAGGTGCCATGGAAGCCCTGCCGACGGAGCCCGTTCGGTCCGAACGAGGCGCGCCGAGCCGGAGCTGCGGTCGGTGGCTCGGCCACTTGCGGAACAGCCGAGAGGCCAAGGTCTTCTCAAACACAGTGCAAGGGGTGGTCTCATGAAATATGCCGTGGTTCATAATATGGCATCTGACTCCGTAGATGAGATGTGCACCTTGATATCTTGGACATTCCACCGGTAAAACTGAACAGACCGTCGTCCCGATCCGCCGTTGAACCGGAGGTCTGCTCATTAACGTAGACCATTGACTAAACAAACCCTCCGTATGAAGTGTGTGGGTGTGTGGGTTTCATTATCTGCACTAGGTCATGAGTGGCTCTTTTCACTTACAACTTCAATACAAGCAGAAATGTCAACAAAGTTTTTGGGCCAGAACCTCGACAGCCCTTTTTACCAAAAGCACAAACGAAGACGGTCTTTTGAGAAATCTGGTTTTCAGTGTCAAGAACCAAGTCGTCAGGTGTTGAGCAGCCTCCAGCACCACCCATTTCGCGTGATAATCAAATGGAAAAAGCATCGTCCCGGCGGGTCTATTAAACATATTAAACCACCTGAACTGGGTGGTGCTGGCGGTTGTTGAGTTTTCGTTCAACAGCTGTTTCCAACTCGTTGGTCACCGTTAGTCTGTTGTTAGGGTCTTCTTTTCGGGGCAGTTCCTGGAACCCAGGGCTTGTCAAGCCATTCTGCCCCAGAAGGCACTATTGTTTGAGTTTCACCTCCTTTTTGGGGTGCGTTGGGGTCAGCCAAGATCTTTTGGCGCACTGAAGAGGGTTACAGTACCTTCAAAGTCATTGGGCCGTTAAGTACAGTAACCAACCATTTATCAAGTCCCAGCTCCCATTGCCTCCAAGTTGATTCCACACATCACAAGGAGTAGAACCTGCCAAACACAGAGCGAGGTTCACCGCGCAGTGACACCCTGTCCAAAAGTGAAACGAGACCGTAGAACATCATCCAAAAACATCCAAAATCCACCTCAACAATGTATCTTTCTCTTCAGACCAACGGTGGCCACTTTGGGCCGCGGGCGCGCGCCCGCGTCCGAGCACCCGCATCCGTTGCCCCTCAAAGCCGGGAGATCTTCGCGGTTGGAGGCCGCAGCGGCTCGTGGAAGAGCTCCGACAACGGGTCCTCTTCGAGGTGCGCCAGCGAGTCGCCAGAGGCACCAGAGGGGCGCAGGGTTTGGAACTTCTGGGAGACCCAGAGCGCATACCTGAGAAACAGCCCGACTCGGAGTCTCCGGGAAGGCTCATGGGCCAAAGGTGGATGGCATGGCTCCGATTTCAGATCTTGAATCCTCGTACCAAACAGGTGCCATTCATTTTGGTGATTATTCCAGGGAGTGCACAGCACAAGAATCCAGAATCAGCGTTTGCACCTTACAGAGTGCTTGAAAGAAATGACCCTGCCCTACCTGCTATTGCTCCTCGCTCGCTCGCTGGGTTCCGCAAAAAAAGAAATGAAAAAACAAAAAACGATCAAAAACGTCACCAGTTCAGCCCGAACTACGCAAAGAAGTCAGTCCCAAAGTCTTCATCCTCCTCTTCGATCCTTTGCTTTGCCACTTCCACCTCATCCTCACCTCGCATGGACAGCCCCGCTGCCGAGCTCCGCATGGACTTGAAGAGCTCCGCACTGGGGCCTTCGGTCATCCAGGAATTCACTGACCCCTCGCTCTGCAGCACGGCTGGCGACGTCTCCCACGTCCCTTCCGGTCGCCCCACCCTCCGCGGCGACACGGCCCGGCGGGGGCTCCGACCCGACAGCGGGCCCTTCACCGGCGCGAAGAGCTCCCCCAGCTCCAAGTCCTCCTCCTCCGCCCGCGCCTTTCGCCCCGAGCCCCGCGCGGAGCCCGAGGGCGCCTCGTGCGCTTTGCGGCGGCGGCGGCCGGAGTCCTCCGAGGCCTGCGAGCGGGCCGAGCCCAAACCAGCGGTGTCCGAGCGTCGGCTGCTGCGCGGGGCGCGGCGCGCAGAGCCGACGCACAGGGCCACGCCCAGGTCGTCGACCCCGTGGCCGTCTTCCAGATCGGCTGCCTCTGCTTTCAACGGCCCGGAGCGCGTGTCGATTGCTCCGCAGGCACGGGCGACCTCGCCCAAGGCTCCGAATCTGGAGGAGAGCTTCTTGATGGCTTCCCTTCTGGCTTCGGCTTGAAGGGGCAGCTCCGGCAGCATCTGGAGCAATGCCAGTAACATCAGAATGCCCAGCAGCGCCTGAACACAAGAAGCCGCGAGGACCATTTGCTCCAAAGTGCTGTAGGCACAAAAGTCCTCTGCAATCTCATCAGGAGTACCAATCTCTACCTGGTAGTGTGCATCAAAGGTATGTCCCATGCCACACAGAGACTTAAAGACGTCCCAATTCACCCCGAAGATCGTCACCATCAGCACCACAGCCAGGTCCGCCACCACGGCCGCGATGGAAAGCCAGCGATCCACTTCTGCCAAGCGTGGGTAGCGCGATAAGTAGGGCAGACACAAGGGTGGCAGAGCCAAGGGAAGACTCCACGGAAGCTTGGCCGCAGCACCTCAAAAAATGGCAGAAACAGAACGCAAGTCTTGCGCAACTTAAGAGTGCAAAACTTTGAGACTAAACGTGGTCCGATGTTCTTTTCAGATTTCACTCCAGCACACCGATTTCGATCTGAGGGGACCCCTCAGCCCACCCTCACCAAGATTTTCCTGAAACCCACCCCTATACATTGGGGTCTGGTAAAACTTCACCCCAAGAACCCCGGACGTCTTCCAACATCCTGAAATGTCCTTCTGTAGATGAACTGCATGGCATGAGTCCAGAAGAAGATCAAGCAGCCTGGAATCCATGTTCCATTACCAGCAAGTCGACCAGAAAGTGCATCAAACACGTTCACAGATGTGCTAGCAGGTCAGCAGGAGCAACTGAATTACTCATGAAACTTCAAGCGCGACGTTCCAAACATGCTCCAATTCCACCGTTTCCACCGTTTCCACCGTCTCCACAAAACGCTTTCGCTCGGGTCCGGGCACCAATCAAGCCTTGCCGGAAGCGCGACACCTCCGCGGAGCTGTAGCAGGCCTCGCACTCGGCCTCCGAGGTCAAGGAGCCCTTGCGCCCGTGGCGTCCCAAGGGGTCAAAATCCACGTCACAGGAGCAGAAGACGATCTGCCCGGAGCTCTTCACGAAGCGCGTGCGATTCAAGTCCTGGAGGACTAGGCAAGGAAGGAGGAAGGAGGGGAGCCACCAAGCTTGGAAACGGGCGGGCGAGCACCAAATGGTCCAAATGGTGGTGGTAGGGGACGGAGAACTCGAACACAAAAGAGGATCCTGGTGCAAGGTTACTGGGAAGTGCTGCAGCATGAGGCTATCAGAGGTTCTTGATGGAAAGTATCCTTGATTGTAAGGCGAGCATGCATTGCTTATGGGTTTCATGACCATGCCATGCTGGACAATGCTATATGATGGATTGAAGAGAGTATCCAGCACCACTGTTTGCACAGGGTCAGGCAATGTAGGGTTACCCAAACACGATACTCCCTTTCTGGTGACTACATCTTGCAGGGGTTCTTGATCCGCGTGTGTGCAGAACTCGCTTTTGCAGACAACTTCAGGTAAGGTAAACCCCCACAAACATGTCGACGCCACCGTCTCCTGCCAACTCTCCTCGCGTTGCGCTGCCAAATGCCCGGCAGTGACGCTCCCAGCCAGGCAAGCGATCTTGCCAAGTGTGCAGCAGCAGAGGAGCGCAAAAAAGCGCCCTGAAGGCAACACTCCCAGGGGCAATTTTGGCACCAGCAGCCGGCTTTTACCAACCGTGCCAAACGAATTCTATCACGACTTTGACCAGCCTTTTTAAAGGAGCCAAAACCTGAGAGTCCAGTGGTGACTCATCATTTACCCCAAACTGGTTCGATAGCAAGTCGAAGTAGCTCAGGCAACGCTGTCTTTGAGGTCCTTTTGAGGAGGAAAGCCAAAAAGCTATCAAAAACCGACTAACTTTTGCCTACACCGACTCTCTCTTCGGCCTTGTGCCACGTGCGTCCGAACCTTGGACCATCGCTGGATCTCTTCGGTCGTGTGCATGGCGCCATCGGAAAAGATGGCTTCGAGAGGTTAGGGAGTTCACCATTGATTTAAGAGTCTGTTCAAACCACCATGGCTTACCAGCTCAACCGTCAGCGTGATGTTCGTGATGTTCGTGGTGTTCAAGGTGTTCGGGTGACCCCCTCCTCAATTGACTTGCACAAACTAGTACCTTCTTGTTGCTTTGGGGCTGTTCGTGAGACACATCGGGTCGCGTTCTGGAGGCCACATCGGGTCGTTCTGAGCAAACAACTCGAGCAACTCCAACCAACTGAGCATCAAACGCCCTCTCACAGCTGCCCCGCGTATCGGGGTGAAGGGGAGCCTTTCGGACCGAACCCCACCTTTTGGGGGTGTTAGGGTCTCTCGATAAAATTTCTACTCTTCTGTTGAGGAGTTGAGGTGGCTGCATGCCAAGGAATGCATCTTCTATTTGATTGGCCCTTTCCTGAGCTAACGTGGGATAGCATGCCAGAGCTGGTTGGGAAGAGAGTGTGGTGATCTCTCTCTCTCTCTTTCTCTCTCTCTCCCTTAGTTTCTATCGTAGGGTCTTGGCAAGTTGTCACAATCAAACCATCATGATCTTACCAAGATCTCCTAGAATGAAGCCCATTCCTTGAGACCTTTCTTGATCGGCTGACTTGTCTGGGCTTGAGCCAAGGGCCAAGGGCTGCAAAAACACATGTGAGCTTCGACCCTGAAACCAACATAGCCCACTTTGCGTGTTCCTCTGGCGAAAGTCTTTCTCCCTCAAATCTCTGCGCACTTGCTCCTATTTGTGGGGTTGTCATCGCGTGAGGATCTCCGTTTGGTTCTGGGCATAGCAGAAAATAGGTTCGAAAATGACCAGATCGCCCAGTGAAGCATCTCTGCTGGGGCTTCCCGCATTGCCCAGCATGTGTGTGAAAGAACTGTGGGTGAACTGGTAGGAAATCCTGGGCCGCAAAAAACGTCGACAGGACTGGGCAGTTTCATTCCCTAGCTGAGTTAGGCAACAAACCTGGCAACAAACCTTCAAATCCAAGGCACGAAAGATCCTCGGCAAAGATCTTGTCTCGGTTTGAAGTGGTGTTTCTCTTAACGAGGGGGGCGAATCCCACAAGAGGATCTGTCCTCCTCCATCTATTGACCTTTTACCTTAGCCTTCGATCTTCTTAGATCAACAAAGCGTCCTGAGATCCACGAACTCCCCCTGTCTCTTCGTGGCTTCTTGGCACACTTCAGAGCTTGGGACCAGGGACCAGGGGCCAGGAGGCTGGTGCTGTCCTGATTGGCCACACATTTGCCTTGACTGGCAGCAAACCAAGAGCCCAGATCGCATGCGATGTTCACCCAGCCTACACAAGTATCCCCAAGGAAACAGGGTCTTTGGTTGTTTCATGTTGTTTCCAGGCTTGATCTAGGTTCCAACGTCCCAGCCATCCCAATTCCGCTCTAGTACCGTTTCAGGCGTCCGCGGAATTGAGCTAGTTGAGGTGCACTCTGAGTCACAAGCATGGAAGTGGAAAACCATCTGTTTGTAGAGCTCAATGGCCATGTTCCAGTTCCATGAATGTTTCAGGGAGTGTATAATATCAACCTTACTGAACCCCCATCTTTCGCATCCTCCAAAGCGTCCCATTCGTGAGGGCTCCGGGTTTTTGGTTCCCGGATTGGTGTTTCCAGTTCCCGCGGTGTTTTTCTTCCCACGTTGGTGTTTTCGGTTCCCGCGGTGTTTTTGGTTCCCAAGTGGGTTTTTGGTTCCCGCGCGGCGGTGTTTTCGGTGGCCGGCTCGGTTTTTTTAGTGCCCGCGGGTGTTTTCAGTTCCTGTGATGGTGTTTTCGGTTCCCGCCTTGCGTTGAAGAGGGAACAAATGCGCGGATGTTTTCGGTTCCCGCGTCCGGTGTTTTCGGTTCCCGCGTTCGGTGCGTTTAGGTCTCCGGTGTTTCTGGTTTTCGCGTCCGGTGTTTTCGGTTCCCGTGTCGGGTGTGCTGTGATCCCGTGTGAAATGGTGGGAGTCTTGTTGTGTTGTCGCGGGACAACGCGAAAGAATTTTTGTAAAGACACGAACAAACACGAACCACCAAAAGCCACAACCGCTACCACCACCACCACCACCACCACCACCACCACCACCTATGAAGATTCACTTCAAAATATTTATGTCAAGATTCCCAAAAACAA